CCGACTCAGTCGCTCCCACCTCGGTCACTACTTTAGGTTTATAAGATTTGGGTTGTCCATATAATGTCCCGTAATTTTCGGATTGCCCCGTAGAAGGAAATCGTTCTTCTGGCAATGGGATACGTCTTACGTCCTTAGTAATGATCTTTCAACTCATATATGCACCATACCCCTTCCTGGGAGTTCTATCCTACCCCTTTTACGCGCGCGCGCGGGGTGTAACTTACCTTACTGATGAAGTTATGAGATTTGGGGGGGGGGGGCGGGGGGGGGGGGGGGGGGGGGGGGGGGGATCTTTCTTAATGTCCTTATTTTAGATTTCTATTTCCGGTTCATAAACACCCTTGTATGTAATCGGTTTGAATCTCAACATTTCCTGATAGATAAACAACGAAATAACAGTAAAACATGTATCGATGCTCACAAAAACAATACAGCTACTTTTAGAATCCAAGGGTTCCGAGGGCGCTTATCACGCTTGTGTTACTGTTGTCTATTTTATCCGTTCATTTATGGTTTATTTTACTTATCTTCATTCACCGGTATTCTCAGCTCACCTGACCTATCTATTAAACATTCAATGTTGTCGCACCTTACAATAGCCTACAAGAATTCACGTTTCAGAGGTGACGTCCAATATAAGTGGAACCTGGGCCACCCTTCGTTCCACAAAACAAACTGACTCAAACATGATCAATACACACATCAAATATCAAGTAACGACATTAACCTAGAAGTCTTATCATCTGGATAACCGAGTCGCGAATGTAATACTTTGGTGTACGAATAAATAGAATCTGATAATTATTTCATCAAGTAGCAAGGTGAAAAGCAACCAACATATACTATGTCGTCAGGAGAGAAACACAGAATGCGAAAGAGAGAAAGTCGGTACTGGGTGTAAAACGTGTCGTCCAACGAGGTTGTTACTACACACACTGCGTGGAAGAACAGACGTCCAAGGTTTTTTTGTGACGACTGGAGACACGTACGACATAAGGTCCCTCTCAACGAGAAATTTTTTTTTTCTAGTTACGAGATAACGCGTTGTAACCGACAATCACACTGTGGTCAGGAACGGCAGACACACTGTCTCACTTGGAGTTTTACTAAGGTGGTCTGTGAACGGTAATTACACTATAGTTTTTTCTAACACGTTAGTAAAATTTACATGGAGGTCACTTCGATTTGTCTCTTACTATTAGAAACCTAACAAGAAAGTAACGAATTCAAAAGAGAATAAGAAACGTTCTTAGAACTCTTACGGTTGGCCCTGAAGTTCCTCCTGTCCACATGTAGATAGTCGTGGTTGGTGGGGGGTCGGACACAGGTGGGGAACACAGTGGCGCGAACACAGTCGCGGACACGGTGGGGCCGCGCCAGTGGGGGTCGCAGTGGGGGACACATTGAGGGGTGCTAGTGGCCCCAACAGCGGTCCATTCGCTAGTTCGATGACTCTATAAAAAAAACGGCACAACATAAACAGTAAAAAAGTTGTACCGAGTTTACTACCTCTACAATCAAAAAGAAAACCAACGGGCATTTATGTCCTTGACAAGGTCGACTCAGGACGAGTGGAAAAGAAGAGGGTGGTCTGAGAGGTCAGGGTTGGGGTGGTGTTTGGTACCTCCTTTACTACCCTCCCTAGCTCTCCTCCTCCTCTCTCCACCTCGAATCGAAGAAACCCTTGAGGCTAGACACACATGTCTATCAGGGGGTCGACTGGTCCGACACTTTTTGGCCGGAGTCCTCTGTAAATACCGTGTAGAAGGTGCCGTCCCGGCACGCGTGTCGATCATGCCCATCATCCAATCCGGACCCATCGCGTCCGAGTGGAAATACGACGCAAAGGCTAAGTCAAATCCTTCACCCCACCATTGGAATCATTCGCCGCTTTTTCGCACCAGTCGCCTCGGGCACTAACATAGTGAAGTTAGCTTTGTGTTCTTGATTGTAGTAGGCCAATCTCCGACAATCGTGAGAGAGAAGACTTGTCTATACTCCTCGAGTGTCGAGGATGTATAGCACAAGTCATTTGGTCCATCTGTTTTCACTTGTGTTCATGGTTTTGGTGTCTGACAGACACAGTACCCGTTATGTCAGCGACCATAAATACCAGACATCATCCGGCAACAACACTCACACCTGCCAGCCATTGTAGTATGCGTTCAACCGAATCAGCTAGAGGTAAATCTGCTTGTGCGTAAAATTTTCCACACAAAGCGGCCGGCGGACGGCACACGACGTCTAATATTAATTATTTAGTGTCAATTTTATATACAACTTAAAACACATCAACGGTGCGCTAGAGAGTGAATCAATCGTAATGACGTCCGGAGCCACAACGGGCCTTTCTTGGAGCTAAAACCTCGTCGGACTTTTCTGCACATGTTTTCTTTCATGCGCGATCAGGCTGGATGGGATCACTTTGCGTTGGTTTTTGCCGGCCCGTGCCGTCGCGAATTTGGCCGCGAGGTGCGGCATCGACCTTTACGCGGTATATAGGTTACAACGAAACCCAATCCCTACCCATAGCAATCCAAAATTGAATGCATGAAATCGCCTATGGCGAATAGCTAGGGAGCCCCATTGTCCATTTGTTTAACGGGCCTTGTTTTAATGTAACGAAACATAATTTAATTTATTTATCTATAAAGTGCAGTTTGCTTTTTGTTGCGCGCGCTTACAAATTGCTTTAGCAGCTAAGAGAGGCGGGTAGAGGCGCGGACACACACACAACGACGTACATCGTGGTGCACGACACTTTGACGGCGAGGGAGCGCATGTGGTCCTGACCTCTCGTCTCATGATAAAGCCCAGACCTAACCGCTTTCTAGCTTTTACGGATTCTTTGGTTAGTATCCTGCGTAACACGGTCAGAAAACGTTAATCTTACTGCCTCAACCCCCTGAGATTTTACGTTACTATTACACAACACATCGGTATTATGTATTGATCGTATATAAATCTACAGAGGCTCATGACGCTATGTTTATGGCTATTGCAACCTCGAATTACGATGGTGCCAGCAAATTATTAAGTCGTGGCCCCGGCAAATTATGGCCCCGAGTGGGTAGGCGATGAAACCAGAGCTGAACCGATAGTCGCTATAAACTTACGGATCAATCAGCCTCCCACTCTTAGAGTTTCGTTGCTGCAAAAATGGTACACGGTGGGTTTTCACAAGACCATATCTTCGACCGAATCTCAGTTCCCATCAGGTGTGTGTTGGTTTTTATTGCTGCCCTGTTAATACCGGTAGCGAGTTGAACATGATGATCCAGAAGGATAATACAAATTCTGAAGGACGCGAAGGAGCAGAAAGGGAAGTTCGAAGAGTAACGTCAGGATGAAGCCCGTACGTCTTCAGGAGGTGGTGACCTATCCGTGTTCGAGGGTCCAGTTGAAGTTCTCCACCTGCTGGCGACGGTTGAGTACGGGGGGCTTCTAACGTTTCGAGTCCGGCAGCTACGTATGGCTCGAGGTCGTGTCGCCGGAGTGCGTTTGCTTGGAGCCCCTGTGTCAAATGTGAGCCCGAGAGACTCCGCGTCTGGTCGCAAGACAATTCCTGGGAGAAAGAGACCGGACCCCTCGAGGAAAAGAAAAGAACGGGGGTTGGGGGGGACGGTAACAGTGAGACCGACCTCTCATGACGTCTCGGATGGGGCAATCATCCATCGAGGTAGGAGCGAGAGTTGATGAGACTGACCTGACGTAGAAGCGCATAGGACGAGGTGCGTTGGGGGGGGGGGTCGGAGTGAACCAGTTTAAATTAGTATTAATTCATGAAGTAAACAGTAAGGGATACTAACAAAACGCAACCACTCATAGATTACACTAAGAGACTGCCCAACCCGCACCCGGTGAAACCGCCGCTGGCAACGAAACGACAGAAACAAGGCTAAAAGCCCTACTACTGTACTACTAACTTCACACAACTTGTATAAACAAGGCCTGGAAACGAAGTTCCATAGTGAACTCGTAACGGAGACCCTTTACTTGGTTCGCTCAAACGCGCCTCCCAAGTCTCGTCCAACGGCGTTACCACTCCAAGCACCATACCACCCACTCCAGACAAACCTCGCTCCGAGCCTGTCCTAAACATCACCCCATACGCTGATTGGTCCGTTTGACAACACAAGGGGGTTCGATTCATTTAAGGGCGTTGCTTGGCAACATTTCTACCGGAAACTCCATTCTATTAAACCAGCATAGAGCAGATTACGTAACTTGTTTACAAGGATTGTCAACATGTTAAAGAATTGGTTTTATAATTTTGTTTTCACACTAATACTTTCTTATTTGAGTATTAACACAGACTCTATCACTATTTTAGTAGGAATATAGTCCCTATTTGTGATCACTTTGGAATGTTATTAGGCTATAGGTCAGCTGAGTGCACTTGAAACATATGCAACCCTCTGTAACTTTCATACCTTCTTTGCTATACCTTCCATCACATACACAAAGATAAAGCCTAACAATCTTTAAACTGGTTTAATTAAATATACTATCATGTATTTACAATTGTCCAAGTTTTATTTTGATGCATGAGAAATTATTATTGCATCAGTTTATGGGATGTTAGCACAATGTATTAGGATAATGAAATTAAGAGATGGGAAATGGGGAAATAATTAAGAGCTTGTGTGATAATGTGATACTATTCCCAAGCCCATAGTATCCAATAAATCGGAATACAAACAGTCTTGCCAAACATGTACAGCTGTAGAGGAATAACGTGAATACAAGTGAAAAAACAACAGAACCCATACCCTCACATAGTCATGCTCAATCCGGGATTCTATATGAAGTTCTAGGCAAACACACTCCAGGTCAGACGTGTGACCTTTCATTTTCCAGAAAACATTTAAATTAGCCAACAATCTACAAGAAACTGTGTTTTCCCTCTACTTATTCAGGTTGTGCATTCTCTAAAGCACATTTCACACATTAAGGTGATATGTATTTATTATTATTTGAGGCATTAGAGATATTTTTCTTTGCTCCTTGCACATCAAGAGTCTTTTACAACACATGTGTTCATACTCACTGGCAAGGTGCCGTCACCCAGTCGGTGAAAGCGAGTCTCCTCAGCAGAAAGCCCCTTGTGGGGAGAATACCCAGCATCAGTGAGCCCTGCCTGGTGCTCAAACCTATGGAGGTTGTCTTGGGTCTGCTCTAAGTGATGAAAGGTAAACAGTCCACAGTACAAATGAGTCAATGTTTTAAATATGATGCTCTGTAGATTGTTTTTATTTAAATGTGCCATCCAATGAAGTACAATTTGAACAATCATAGGTGCGACTAACACATTGATGTGACGTGAGGTGAATCAATTAATTGTGTAATTAACTTGTGTGTGTTGTTATTGATCAAATTGAAAATAAATGGTCTTCAATTAGGGTTTCAGCTGGTTTTAGTTGACTTACTTATCATAAGTGTGCTCATCAAAGAGGTGGCTTTGGCTTTCACAACAGGAACTTGGGGATTGACTGGTGCCCCTGCCTCAAAAGTCACCAACTTCCCAGCACTCCCACTTTCCTGGTGATACAAGTTTATAAGGATTCATTTACAAACCAGTTACACAACAAGTGAGAACAAATGAAACGTTGTCAGTCCTGCATCATGCTTATGGAAGTTCCCCACAAGCCCAGGCAAATATCTTGTTAGACTCTACCAAGATGTATAACCAGTTCAAAAACATTTTGGGTATTATAGTAAGAACAAATAGGAAAGCACCTCTGCAGTGTTCCTGAACTTGTGCTGTGGGATGACAGGGTCTTTCCAAAAGATGTTAACGTTGAAGTCTGAAGGTGGCGAATGCATGGTGGCATCCATGAGGTCATCATAGCTTACAGTGTGCCGGTTCATTCCAATTGGACAAGAAAAGGCACCGAAGAGCCCAGAAGATGTGCCAGACTCAAGTGCTGAAAGATGGGAATAAAGAAGTATTCATTGTTTGTGTGTTTTATTTCACATGGAGAAACTTTTCTGACATTGCCACTAAGATTGAAATACTTTGACAAATAACAAATATTAAGATTATTTCAGTAATATAACAAAAATCCTGCGTTACCTGGAATGTCTCCCCGTTGTGAGGACATTTTGACACCGGATCAGTTAGGCAGACCACAGGAGACGTTGTAGGGTGAAAGTGTGGAGGTCCACTCTGCTAGGTGCTGATGGCAGTCCGAAGTGACGCTAATCAATATGGTAAATATAATTTGGTTAGCCTAAGGTTAAGTTTGAGTAAACACGACAGAGTCTTGTGCTGCAAGTGCAAAGTGCATAGCGTCCCGTTTCAGCCCTGCTCCGAATATAACTGCAGGATCTTGTTACAGCGCTGTCATGAATATCAGTTAATGTCAGTCCGGTCAGTCCCCTCATACCAGCCAGCTATGCTCAGGGCCTATACAAACAGCCCAACTGAGGATTAAAGCAAGCTCATTCCCACAAGGAAATGACACTTTCTGAGATCAGGACACACTGCCTGTTTAATAAATAAACAAACCTTGCTTGTTTTGTAAAACTCAAAGAAAGGCATTAGGCCTATCATTAGTCCTATTTATGGTAAACGTTGTCTACCTCTTTCATCGGTGCTCTATATCAGCATTGTCTGAGCTCACTTTCCATTGCAATCCACCTGCTTCGTCACCAAAATAAATAATCAGATGACCATCCGCCATCTGCAAAATGTCATCTTGTCAGATTTCGCTGATTTGGATCGGTGATATTTCGCAGGCTAATTTTGTCTACTTTGCAGACTGCTTACATCTGTCTGCTGCTGCACGTCAGCACTTTGGGGTGCCAGATACGGTGACTTGCAAAAACAGGAACCGAAGTCATGCCATGGGCGTTTGGGAATAACGTCAAACTAAAAATATATATCATATAGGATACAACTAAAAAAAACTAGAAAACGATTATTCAAATAACGTAATAATCACTGGATTTTCTATTATCATTGCATAGTGTGTATTGTATTTCATTCATTAAAAAACAATATTTTAAGCGTTTACATGAAGGACAAAAGCTTATTGTAACACTTACCTCAACCTGTCAACATTTCCTTTCCTCTCCGGTTGAGTTATAACACAGTGATTTCTTTCTTTCTTTGTCACAGTGGAGCTGAGTTGACATGCTGAACGAAAAAAATCTGTAGGCTATGTTTGTTCTTCGGTTGGTTCATCCATGACTTTTGGACACACAGAGAGTAAACAGAGAGCTGAGATGTCCACACGGCAGCAGGGCACTGAACGCACCTCTCTGACAACCGAGACGCTAGTGGAGCCTCGCAGCGGCGAGACTGTGGCGCGTCCATGTGCGGAAGTGATACCATAAAGCCCTGCAGACTGTTGCACAAAAATAAGTAGGCTATATCAGAGAACCATATTATGCCAAATCATAAAACAAATATTAATGCAGATAGAACTCAGGTATTTACAACAGTGTGAACATTAGCTTCTCACAAAGTTCAAATTATTTACACATTAGTTGAGTAGCCCTCCAACACGTGGGTTACAGTTGATTCATGTTTTATTATGGAATTGTGATTATTTATGTATTGATGTATGTATCACTTTAACATTGCCGATGGTTAATGTAGGACTAGTTTACATTTATTTCTTATATATTTAACAAATATAATCACCAAACGGAGTGTCTACTCAAATTCCCCCTAAGGATTTGTAAAAACTTCATATTGATATCTTCCTTTTGTTGTTGATTTCATATTTTTCTATAATTATTGAAAACTGGAAAGGAACTAAATGTATCAAGTAAAAATACCACATTTGGCTTAGTGATGTATTGAATTGGAAGTTTAAACATATAACAGGAAAAAAAATGTCCTCAATATTTGAGATATATACGTTTCAACTCAAAGGTCATATTTCGAAATTCAGATAGACAGGCAGTATCTTCTTTGTATAAAACATGGTTAAACTGTGGCCTTGGTTAGTTAGGGCTAGGATAGGCAAACAGTGAATCTCCATGATATGACTGCCAGTGTGTGTGTGTGTGTGTGTGTGTGTGTGTGTGTGTGTGTGTGTGTGTGTGTGTGTGTGTGTGTGTGTGTGAGAGTGTGAGTGTGAGAGAGTGTGTGAAGGATTCCAGCCTATGAAACTCAGCTGACCTGAACCGCCCCTATCAGAATTTAGCAGAATCACATGTTGACAGTTTACCTCCTGTCATCTCCCTGCAGCTTTGGAGCCCTCATGCTATCTGTTGCATATGTTAGCCATATTAATCATGTCTAGAAAACTTCTTAGAGATGAACTCAATCTAAACAGGATACATGACCTGACACATGTAATTAACATCTTGCATTGGCAGCCCTGAACCACAACGTAGCAGTGTTTGTTGACACAACATTATAAGACTTTGAACAGAAAACAAGCACTCAATGCTCCATTGATTTTATATTTATTTAGAAAAAAACTGAAATTACCAAAAGGCAAAGGACTTGGTTCAACACATACATTAATTTACAAAAACGAATAAAAGACATGTACAAATTAACAGAGATATACTACAGAGTATAAATAGAGGATAAATAGACAAACAGTTTAATTCAGTTCACATCTTGAAGGTGCATTTTCAAACGGGGTCAGAGGTAATTTTAGCTTATTTTTGATCCCAGGAGTTGAAGAATTAGAGGCTAGCTGTGTTGGTGCTGTCTGGGCTGGAAGTGAGCGCAGCTGGTCTGGCTTTGGTTCTGGCTTTTCTATAAATCAAAACAAAACCAGAAACATAAGATACAAAAGTCCGGAGAAGAAGGCATCATATCANAGCAGCGCCACTTACAGGCCTGGCATATGTACTACAGCGTTTCCAACATTTCCAGCGGTCTAGTGTGAACGGACACATTAATCATTAATGAATCGAATGCGTGTGAACGGAAGACTTTTTTGCGTTTGGTATGCGTTTTACCGTATGCGTCCTCGTGGGGCCGGGGTCTAAGCCAAACTATATCCGGTCACAGAGATCTGCTATTTTAAAGTAAAGTCAACACATATCGATCCTAATATAGTCTATATTAAGAACGANTATCTCCAACGAGGCGTTTTGGGGAGGTCTTTTCTGTGTTTGAGTTTTACTCGCTACAGGGTGTACTTTGAGGTTTTTGACTCTGCAGACCGTTTACATGCAGAAAAACCTTCATAACACACAAGGGGGCGGGTAATAACCGGAAAAGCATGACATGTGACCTTTAACATATATATCGTTTTTTGTAAACATATGACAAATGTGTGAGGGTGATGACGTCAGAGCATCGTCCTATGTGCCAAGGCTTAGCCCCGGACAGCCCCAGCCCAATTTAACCCCTGGGTATTTGTGAGGGAGCTCCTATATGGCATTACCCCGCTGAAGCTCACCAAAGTTTAATATATTTCATAGTTCAAAGTTTTGTCAATTGTTTTGTTTATTGGTCAAATACTGGTTTCTAATGGTTTCTGAGGAGTTTTACTGGAATGAAAGAGGACAGAGTCTACAGAAGCAACAAAGCAGCATTCTGCATTAAACCTGACCTTCACAGAGAGGCTGAAGTTCATGTGGAGAGGAGGCTTCAGTAGTCTGTCTGCACTCTGTTTAGTTGTGCTATCTTACAATCAATATAGTAAATGTGAGGTAAAGTGTGTTGCCAATGTAACCAGTTAGAACTCAAAGTTGCGATGAGGTCTTAAAATGTATGGAAAGGGTCTTAAAAGGTATTAAATTTGACCTCAGGATTCCTGAATATACCCTGATATTACTTTTGTATCCAAACTGCGGGTCTAAGAAAAATAAGGTGTTAGAAGGTATAAATCTATTGTATAATTGTATTTTTAAAAACATGACTTGGCTCTTTAGTTTTTTATAGCTGGCCTAAGCTAATGCAGACAGAAATTACGGCTCCAGCAGTGAACCGCTTGTACAAATGATGGGGAATGTTTGATTAATGGTGCGTATTGTTTTGCTTACAGGTTTTGCAAGGTTTGATTCACATTGAAGGCCATTTTGTTGACTGCTTGAACTACTACAGTACTTACAGTATGAAATGAGCCAGAGGCGTTTAACTCTCTCGTTCTAAATGTAAGTTGTAAGGCTGGTCTATGCACTTCAGCTGACTAACTAGTTACCTATCCAGTTTGAACATTATTTGCATGCTTGTATGCTTCAGAAGAGAAGGAAGCTGCATGGTTTTACCGTACGAGAAATGTTAACTATGAGGGCCTGAAGGTGAAAAGGTCCAAGAAAATCACGTCTTCCTCTAAGTAGTGCCAAGAATCTGTGAAACTGAAACCTGTCATAGTAGATGATCCTATGTTGCGTGGTAAGCTTACCTTAGTTTGTGTGTATGTGGGCCCTAAAGACCAGAGGTACCTCTCCAGCTCACTGATCAACACCTTGTTTTGTAAAAACCCTGTTGTAGTGATCTGTCAATCACGAGTAGCCTAGGCATGCAATCTAAAAGGGTATACAAAATACAGATAATTCAGTTTGGCATTTAGTGTGTTGGAACATACCTGGGTCTGAAGGAAACTCCTCAACCAGTTTCCTGTGATTGAAACCCTTCTGTTGTTTCTTCTTCAGGATGACGTAGGCCACCAGTCCCACGAAGGCAACAGCCACACCCGTTCCCAGCACAGCTCCCCACGCTCCGTTTCTTTTGCTCGTGTGGGTATCTGTTGCCAATCCTTTATTGGAGGAATGAGGAGTTGAGGGGGTTGGAGAGAAATATAAAAAATCTGTCATCAACAACATTATTTCCATCAGCTGCTGTGTTTGAGGGTTAATTGTCAGATAATTATAGCTGACATTTGTTTTTGACAACTGTATTTCCAGTGGCGGCACGCTTCATAGATACACATCCAATAAGACAGCTGTACAGATTAGTATATTTTACGCTGTGATAATTAATGCAATTAACAAGCCCAAATCATGATCATTTCTTGAATACATTTGAATATATCAAGACAACAAGCTGCAATCCCAATATTAACAATGTGAAATATGACTGAACATCACTTTAGTTCTCACAATATTACATCCCTCATAACTTTAAATTACATAACTGATTCAATGTGTCCATACATTTCTTCATGGAGATGAACAGAGGTAATTAGTACCTCAGTACAAGTATAACATAAATGATTATATGATGAGTAACCTATTCCGACAATGAGTGTTAAAGAAATGTGCAACTGTGAAAATGTAAACTATAGACTTTAAATGTGTTACTAAAGTGTTGGCTAATTGTTGAAGCTAGAAAAAGGGAATTTTGTTAAAGTGAAGGAAATGTTTTCTTTATCCTTTGACATAGAAGTGCCACATTTTTATTTTATCAGGACTCCCACGTAAATATTTCAGCAGCTCCGTTTATCTACAAATGGCTCAATTTGGCGACTTGCTAGGTTACATTTGATCCTAACCTGGGGCAAGTCAAGCAAAAAAAACTATATATTTATACAGTGCTATTTAATTTTTGACTTCAGCTGCATTGTTTCCCTTTATTTGAAAGTAGGCCGAATAAGATATGGTTGAGTGGCGTATTGTTTTTGCTGGTATTTTGTAAACTTGATTTCTGTGAATTTCAGAACAGACACTCATGTTAATTTCAGTATGAATTTTAAAACTCTTCAAAACTTCCTGACTTTTCATGTAGCACCTTCATCAGGTGATAACTCAAATTTGGTTGAAAAGTGTCCTCTGTTAATATTTATATACATTGTCTGTCACGCCATTTTGTGCACACTGCAGGTCTTAGTAACTGTAGCAGTTTTTTCATTTTTGTGTTTCCATCCGTTTCTCAACTGTTTTCCCATTGTTTATTGCCATCATCTGTTAGTGTTATGTTCTGCTGTCACATATATCTGTGTTATGCGAGTTCAGTTGTATTAATCCCAACCTCAGTCTTTTTACACCTTCTTGCCATGGTGCTGTTACTAAGCTCGCCCACGTTTGCAGAAAAAGTTGCTTTTTCGAGATACAGTATTTCGGCAGGATGGAGCATTTATATATTTAATTGTAAAGGCCATTTTATGCCTGTACAATATACCCACAATTTGCAATATACAGTCTGAGGCTGGACAAATAAGTATTATTTATGATTAAATAATGCCAGGTTTTAGAATGACCTGCAATATAACTGCTGCCTTCTTGCCGGATCACCATTGTGAGGGAGATTATATTAGTCGGTTTTATTAAGCATAGATGGATAGATGGACGGACAAACAGACAGATAGATAGAAGAATAGATTTACACTATACTTAAAGGAACTTTTTCCAGTCCTATCTCCTCAATCTTGTGGTTGACAC